GAGATCTCTTCAGAAAAAAAAACTCACTCCTTTCTTACATGCGATTTTACTTTCTCGGAAATGACAAGAACAATTTCACACCAATCTGAGCAGAGAAGACCCAGCTATGCAGACAACCCACGTAGCTTCTTAGGGCTGTAATATTATTAGATATACCAGTGAAGTGGTATGAGATCAGAGTGCCAAAAAAAATGGCTACCTACCTGTAACTCTGGTTCTTCGAGTGATCATCTGTGAATTCACACTAATGGGTTAATCTGCTCTTGCGTGGAACAGCCTCAGAACTTTCTAGCTGAAGCACATGGTGCTGGGACCTCCCCCATGCTGGCTATAACTCCTCCCGGGCACCAAGTGCCTCAATTCCATGGAACTGACTGCCATTGCGCTTGCGTGGAGCAGCCTCAGAACGTTCTAGCTGAAGCACATGCTGGCTATAACTCCTCCCAGGCACCGAGTGCCTCAATTCCATGGAACTGACTGCCACTGGACAGCATGCAATGGCACACATAACGGACAGAGGAGAGGAAGGGTGGGGAGTGTGAATTCACGACGGACAGAGGGGAGGAAGGGTGAATTCACAGATGACCACTCGAAGAACCAGAGTTACAGGTAGGTAACCTCTTTTTCTTCTTCATGGTCTCTGTGAATGCACATTAATGGGTGACTAGCAAACTCACTTACCCGGAGGAGGGATGTCATGAAAGTGCAGAAGGCAGGACAGCTTGACCCACCTCAGCCTCAGCCCGGATATCTAGGTGGTAATCGTCATGAAAGTCCAGAAGGCAGGACAGCTTGACCTACCACAGCCTCAGCCTCAGCCTGGATATCTAGGTGGTAACAGGTGACGAAGGTAGATGGAGTGGCCCATGTGGCAGCAGGTGACAAGCAATGTCTACCCCACGGAGAAAGGCCGTTGAAGACACTACAGCTCTAGTAGATAGAGTTCTGACTGGGCCTGGAAGAGGAATCTCAGCTAAATTATAGGTGAAGACGCTACAGCTCTAGTAGATTGAGCTCTGACTGGGCCTGGAAGAGGAATCTCAGCTAAATTATAGGCAAGATGGATAGTCTGGACGATCCATCTAGAGATGGTCTGAGGGGAAGCTGGTGCTCCTATCGAAGGACCAGCAAAGGTGACAAAGAGTCGTTGTGTCGTACAGAAAGCGGTTGTGCAGTGAATATGATATGAGAGAGCACACTTGACATCCAGGGAGTGCACAGCATTCTTGAGTGGAGAGGTTGGTGAGGGAAAGAAAGCAGGAAGCACAATTGGCTGATTCAAGTGGAAAGAAGGTGAAACCTTGGGGAGAATGGTAAGGTCTGGATGCAGAGTCATCCTGTCTGGGTGAGAATGCAGGAATGGAGGGTCTGCTCTCAACGCAGCTAGTTCTCAAGCTCTCCGCGCTGAGGTTATTGCCAGGAGCAATGCAGTTTTGAAGGACAACAAGCGGAGCGGAGCAGAAGCCAAGGGTTCAAAGGGAAGCCTCGTGAGTCATCGATGAACTAGTTGGAGCAACCACTGTGGCGTTAGTGGTTTGTAGGCAGGCGCATATTTTTCAGCCCTCGGAGGAACTGCTTCAAGGTAGGATGTCTAAAGAGCATGGTTGCTGGAGAAGATGGAGGTTGATGGGATACAATGGCAGCTGTGTAAACCTTTAAGGTGGAGTGGGAAAGCCCTTGTTGAAATAGGTGGAGGAGAAATTGAAGAAATGCATCCAGAGATGTTGGGCTGGAAGGTAAGTGGCATCTTGATGCAAATCTACAGAATGTGCTCCATTTATAGGAGTAGGTCAAAGAGGTCAAGGGCTTGCGGGCATGGTTGAGCACATCTGCTATTGTCGGTGAAGTCTCCGGCCGTCAGGTGGAGGGATTCGAGATCCAGATGAAAAATCTGTCCTTCATCCCAAGACAGTAGGTGATGGACCATCTTCAGCCTGATGTATTCTGAGGCTCTGGAGAGTAGAATCGAGAACTATGGCTGATGAGGCCACCAAGGAGCTCTAAGGATCACATCTGCATTTTCGTGTCAGATCCTTATAACAGCCCTTTGGAGAAGGGGAACGGGTGGGAACATGTAAAGGGGGTCAGTTGGTGGTAATTCAAAAATTCAATCACGCATGCACACAATGTCTCCTGCATTACAATTCAGAAAAACATTTTGACAGTTGATAAATTCAGGCTATGAGGACTTCTCACAGATGAGATGAATTTACAATCGCCTTACTCTGACACCAGTGATCTAGCCGCATCAAATTCTTGTTAATTATTGGAAAATTAAAACAAGCTGCTCATGTGAGCAGCTCTGTAAGTAATTCAAAACTAATTAAATAATTATGATTTGCTCTGTTCCTTGACATCAGCGTGCTTTCAAAACAAGTTCAATTTTAAATGGCATTGCAAAATAATTCAAGCATTATAGCAATTACTTGTATGCTTAATTTTAGAAGATTTAATATTTGCAGGACTTTGCAAAGCCTTCCCACTCACTGCAATGTGTCCCTCCCCGCTTCTATTCCTGCAGTAGCTTGTCAGACTTTAATTAACAAGACAATTGTCTAAAGGTCAACATATGAATGTGGGCTTCAAAAGGAGATGATAAATGCGTTCATCCAAACCCACGGCCTCCTAGAATCCCCAACGGGGAATTAAACGGGTGGTGCACCAGTACATTTCTCAGTGCAGAAATTTTGCTTGCCTATTGAAATCACATTTGTTTTCAAGAGACAAAATAATAGAGGCCTCCTAATTGTAATAGAGGTCAGAGGAACAGTCTGTCTGGAATAACTCATGTTTAGCTGGAAGTTTTGTATAAGACAGGGCTGAAGCTTGCAGCCTTCCAACGGTAGGTCTTGTTGCCCAGATGACTATGGATGTCATCACAGGCAAAATTCTAGCCCTCTTGAGAAGTTGTGCCTCTGGACAGAATGAACCTGCAAGGAGGGGCCCACCACCACCGCTGCCATTTCTATTGGCCTCTACATGCCTGAACAGCAACGGTCAAAAGATGAAGCGTCTTCCATTGCCATTTCTGGTGCCCTCTGCTGGATTGGGTGGACCATGGGGCAGATCATTCTAAATTGTTTTGAAGCCTGATTTTCCAGGTTTCACAGAAAGCCTTTATAGGTAGACAACGGCTCTCCCTTTCAGAAACTTGCCCTCCATACTGTGTCAACAGTGACAGCCATGGCTGCGTGCAGCTCAATGGCTCCTCCTCCTTGTGTGTTTATTCTTGCTGGCTAGATTGCTTGTGAATAGAACTTCTGATTTCATACAAATGTCTCGTTTGGGCACCTCAGTCAGCTGCACATTTTGAGAGGTATCTCTCTTTCAGGATGCAATAAATATATTTGCAAATATGTTCACAATAAACCTCAAACTCTCAGTAATATATCCTGTGAACTGAACACCAGATCTAACACAATAGTCTGCACAGTAAGCTGTTGAAGAATTTTTTGAGTGAAGGGAACCCTACTGATTTTTAATACACCAGGTCTGTTTTTAACCATTAATACTTTTTCTTTTAGGTTCTTCCAGTTAAGCTTTTAATATTCCTATCTCACAACAGTTTTCCCCACATGCGGAGAAGCTGAGTTTTTTTGCATAACATACATAAACTATTTTTTTCTCTCTCTTGCAAAACAGTTAGGGCATCACAACATGAAAATACCATCATTAAATACAGTACTAAAATGGGTTATTTTGCAAGGACTTTCTTCTGATAACTGTATTCTCCTTAAGGTACAAATGTTAAAGTATGGATTTCATCTATTTTCCAGGTAGCAATTCAGAAAATTTTTTGGCAGTTGATAAATTCAGGCTATGAGGACTTCTCATAGATGAGATGAATTTACAATCTCTATACTCTTCAAGAAACTTTTATTCAAGAAAAGGAAGAAGCAGCCACCCAAATGAACTCTGAAATAATTGCACGAGTTAGTCATGTCTTGGAATTGTTCATTTTTGGAGCACCCTTCTGTATCTTCACTGAGTTCTGGGATTAGTTATTAATGAAACTAAACAGACTAGAATCAATCCATGTATTACTAATTCATTTTTTCATATGAAATGCACACACAAGGACCGGAATTGAGTTGCTTAGCATAGTAAGCTGCACTAGAGAACTGGAATTGTGTTGCTTAGCATAGTAAGCTGCACTAGAAGAGGCCTACTGAATCAACAGAATTTACAGAGGAGTTGATTCACCAAATCCTCACTCATTTAATGGGCCTATTTTTAAAAAAGTGTAATCTACTATGATAAACTGCACAATTTCAGCTATTAAGTGAGAATCTTTACCATTAGCATTGAAGCTGGCAAGGAGAAAAAAATATTACCGAAACAAAGTTTACAGTGACCTGTACATTATATTTATGTGTGTGTGTCTCTCTCTCTCATACACACCCACATCTGTAAAAAATGATGATGATGTTACACCCCTATATTTCCTTCCGCGGGGAAAATGATGATGATGATTGTTACACCCCTATATTTCCTTCCGCGGGGAGGCCCTCCTGAAGTCATACAACCTACAGGACCCACTAAATGTATCCAACTTTTCAAAGTATCTGGCAAGTGTGCAGAGGCTGGGTCCAGGCAAGCAGGTATGGTTCTGCTCCTAAGGCCAGCCCTATCATTAGGTAAAATGAAACACTGACCTCATGCAGAAAATGTTATAGGAGTGATAGACCAATGGCAGGATGCTGAAAGATGAATCTCATTGTGCCACATGGCCCACCATGAAAGCTTCTTCTTCCAATGTGCAGTGGAAATTGCAGGAGGTAATAATCATTGTTGTGCAGCTGTGTTCACTGGCAAGTATAAGGCTGCCATCTAGTGGCCATTGATTTAATGTCAGCCTTATTTACTTGAAATCCATTTTTTTCTGGGATAAAGCAGACTGGAACTAAGGAAATGCCTCGTGTGTGCTTTGATACTGTTGCACGTACTTCCTCCCTTCTCCATTACTCGAAAGAACATAGACAACAGATGAAGAACTGGACTGTTAGGAAACACTGGAGTTTATTAAATGCCCTATTTGAAGCCAGAATCAAAATATTCCTCTTCCATGTATTAGATACAGAAGTAATCTAAAGAATTTCTATGCAGTCCCAACAATGAATATTTCCAAGGAGACTATGGCTTTAGTCTACGATGACATAGAAGAATGTTAGTTTTGTCTTTATGCCCCTTAATTGTTGAATGTCGATCCATATGGTAATTTATTTAAGGCACTCACTCCAAATTAATGTTATTTCTGGCCTGAGATTGCTGATATTTTTCATTACATTGTAGCCAGTAATTTGGAAGCAAATTACTGTGCTGTTGGTAATACTGATCAAACAGAAATCATTTCTAAAACAGGGAAAATAAAATACATTATATACATAACCCATGTTTTCATTTTAACTTACAACCCACTGTCATCTAGTTCTTTAAAAAATTACATGTATTAAAGGCTACTTAAATACTGCAAGGTTTTAAATAATGTAACAAAATTCTCAGTGAACAGAGAACTACTGCATGTCTGCCACCACATTGGCCCCATCAGAAACAAATGCTTTTTTTTCCTTATTCAAACCTTGTATTTATAGGAACAAAGTCCAAAGCATATCTTCCATTTCACATAAATAAGAATAGTTCTGTCCTCATTTTTAAAAACCCATTATCTGTTCAAATTGTTGGAACACCAAGTTGTTTAGCAACTCCCTTCATAATGTATTCTTTTATTTTTTTTTTCAAAAAAAAATCCTTCATTGTTACCTTCTGTAAAATATAATTGTATTTCCAGAATACATAATGGACCATTTATTCTTTAAGCATTAATTGCAAACCCTGAACTTTTATAGTAAACGTTAAAAAGAAATTCTTGTATAAACTCCTATGGAATGTACACTCAGCAGGTGGGTGTATACCAGGATGAAGAGGAAAGTAGCTCCACGAGATATCCTTTGAAGAAACCCGAGAGGTGTGCTATTCACAATTTCAAAGTGCAAGTGGGTATATATATATATAGGTTCAGTTTTTTAAGAGTGTTTGTGAGACTCTTATTGAAGGCCACTGGCCAATACTGTGCTGGAAATGGGATTATATTCCAAAAAAATTAGGATAAGTAGCTGTGCTTTACTTTGGATTTGCTTTGAGCATCCAAAATACAACATACAATGTTCAGGAACCAGTACAGTCAATTCTTTACATTGCAGGCTGGTGTTTTTTTGTTTTTCCCTGCCATGCCCTTCCTGGTCTCTTCCTGGCATTGGGCAGAAGGCAATTCCTCACTCCAAACTCTGTGGGGATTTGAAAACTCTTACAGCAAACCCAGAAACAGTAACCGTGTCTGCCCACCTAATTCAGCAGAAGGTGAGTGGGAGGGCAGTTTCTTAGTGCACTAGATTGTCCAGGAAGACAGTATCCTTCCTCTCTCTTCTGGACTCAGCACCATGGGCGTAAGATAAGATCAGTGCTCAGGCAGCATCACGACCTTCCAAACACTGTGATGATTTCAGGAACTGGAGTTTCCTTCAGTTTTATAAATCTCCATCTGCAGGTGGTTGACACAGCTTGTAGATTCTGTAGAAGTTTGAGATAAAAGGGGATGTTACAAAATGAAGGGTAATTATAACCAAAAAAAATAGTTCAAATTGGTTCAGAAAAAAAATAATACCCATCAAAGAAATGGAAAAGGCAAAGAAATACACAAGACAAAGCAGAAATTCTCAAACAGCTTATAAATATATTCTTGAAGGCTTTCACAGCTGGATCCGATGGTTATTGTAGGTTTTTTGGGCTGTTTGCCTGTGTTCCGAAGGTTTTTTTCCCTAATGTTTCGTCAGTCTCTGTGGCTGTGTTCTGGTGTAGGATAGTTGGATATTTGTAGCTGTGGAATCAGCTTTTTGTTATGTTCTGGTGTAGGATAGCTGGATATTTGTAGCTGTTTGATCAGCTTTTTGTCCTTTCCAGGAGATTGGGTGATTATGGTGATCAGGGTGTTTTTTGTATTTATAAATTCTTTGGTCATGTAGCTTCGGAGTGAAAATACAAAAGTAAACAGGTTGAAATATGGCTCACAGTTTTATCAGTGTACTTTGCCAATCTAAAACTAGTTAAAGCCTGTCTCACAGAAAGCAATATAATTATACAGTGGGGTCTCTACTTAAGATCTGTCTCACAGAAAGCAATATAATTATATTTTCTAGAGACCACACTTCCTCCCAGTCAATCAGGATAGTTCGGACCATATGGGCTTCAAATATTCCATCAATGCTATAATTGGCCTTTGACATCCGCTACCCACATACCTCCAAGGCAGGTGTAGGAGATGAAATCAACAGCCCCATAGCTGGCATGCCTTAGGGAGTCACAAAGATCACCAGAGAGGGCTCCCTACAACAGGCCCTTTTGGTAACAATGATTGCTTCCATCACTGTCCTAATGAGTTATCTGGGGAGATTCTCCCTCTGCAGTAAGAACTGCAAGTACCGCCCATAGGAATGGACTGAAAACCAATGAATCCGTTCTGGCTGTTTTTTTTGTTATGTAGAGGTGCGTTCGTACATTGAAGCATTAGTTCCCATAGGAACTAATGCAAAGCTGGTTAATACGTACTCTACCACTAGGGGAATTTTTTTTTTAACCTAAGATGACCTAAGGTTAAAAAAAGAGCAGGAAAGGTTTTTTTTTCCTGTTCTTATCTTGGATTTCTGTTCTCAAGTAGAAGCAAAATTTAGCAAATGGAGCTGTTCTTAAGTTGGATTGTTCTTAAGTAGGGACGTTCTTAAGGAGAGACCCCACTGTATTTTCTAGAGACCACACTTCCTCCCAGTCAATCAGGATAGTTCGGACCATATGGGCTTCAAATATTCCATCAATGCTATAATTGGCCTTGGACATCCGCTACCCACCTACCTGCAAGGCAGGTGTAGGACATGAAATCAGCAGCCCCATAGTTGGCATGCCTTAGGGAGTCAAAAAGATAACCAGAGAGGGCTCCCTACAACAGGCCCCCTCAATGGCATGTGGTTCTTTTGGTAACAATGATTGCTTCCGTCACTGTCCTAATGAGCTATCTGGGGAGATGCTCCCTCTGCAGTAAGAACTGCAAGTACCGAATCTTTGTGCTGCTCATTCATCAAAACCTGTTTCATGGATCAGCCAATTTTCAAAGTCTCCTGTAACCCAGAGGCTGGAGACTGCATAGTGCTCCCTCACATGTTTTTGGAGCCTTCTCAAAGGCTACTCACAGCTGTCCAAAGACTTCTCACTCCCACCACTCATTTGTCATAGCACCAAGAACTGATCCTTTTGTTGCTGAAAACAAGATGCATAGGGCACATGCACCTTGCTTGTAAGGCTGACTCAACTCTCAAAAGCACTATTAGCCAAGAAATGCATTCCCTTACAATTTGGCAAAAACAGTGCAGGAAAGTGGGTTCAGGGGCAAATTTGGTCTCTAGACTATCAGGAGATGGCAATCCTTACAGTAGCTCATAACTCAGTATTAGCTTTACTTTGTTTATCAGACATTTTACTATTCTAGTATTCAAACACTCCTCCAGCAGCTGAGAACATCCTAATTAGTGCAAGATAAACTATTTGTTGTGGGTTTTTCAGGGTGTTTGATCAGGTTCTGGAGGTTTTTCTTCCTAACTTTTAGCCAGTCTCTGTGGCCGGCACCTTCAGAGGACAGGAGCTAGAATTCTGGATGTGTTCCTGAACATGGCCAAACAGCCCGGAAAACCCACAACAACCATCGGATCCCGGCCATGAAAACCTTCGAGAACATAAACTGTTTGCTTTATTAAAAAAAGGAACACAACCCAGAAAGAGTTAACAGGGAATGAAAATGGCTTGAAGAACAATTTTCAAAAAATCACTGTTGGGGTATATGAATGTAGCAAAACATTAGGTGGATGTGTGTTCTCATACGTAGAAATGCTTGAAGATTCATTTCTAGAGGAGTCGTCTCAGCTGTACACAGACACCTACCGAGGTGCAGACTGTGGCATCTGATCCATCACCTTCAGATTTTTTGCAGAGATTTCAACCCTTGGTCCCTAAAAAAATCCCCCCAAATAATGGACAGTATCAGTATACTCCTGAAGTCATAGAGGGAAATGCTAAAACAGAAATATACAATGTTTGTTTGAAAACCCATTAATATCTCTTAATGGCTCTGGAAAGTACTGCAGTGGTTCATTGATAATTTGCATTTATTTAAGATGAAAAGTTTTCCCCAAGTGCTTTGCAGCTGCTACTGCTCAAGAGGGACGGAAACAAGAATACATATAGCCTGTGCAAGGCTTTGTAAGCTGCAATGCTGTATTGACTGCATAAACAAAGACTACTCCCCATTAATCACATACCTTGGTAGTTCACAAGCAGCTTTTGCTTTAAATAATATGATGAGTGCAAGTACTGAAATAATGTGATGATGAGTGCAAGTACTGGTTTATAAAAACGGGAGAGTTTGAATACACATATTATATTCCATCACACACACACACACACACAATGTAAGATTTGCAACATTTACAATCGCTAATATGATTTGGTGAATCTTTTGTTAACACTCACTTGTTTCCTCATTATGTCTGTGGCCTGCATGATACATTTAGGCAAGAGTCCATGACTTCGCGCCAATATAGCTGCTTGCTCCAAGGACACACTCAATGTACTCCTAAAACAAGAAGATAAATAAAATTGGCTTCACCAGCTGAACATACTTTCACATCAATTCACATAGGTTACAATTCTATAGTCCAGAGACAAAGGACGTCCAGATGTTTTGAACTTCATATCCCAGAAGACCTATCCAGCATAGAGCTGCAAATCAAAACACTCAGAAGATCAAGGATTTTCCATAACTGAATTCCATGGGATTACACACCTTGCTCTCATAATTCAAAGTACCCAGTTTCTTGAGTCCCTCTTTAAATGTTGCATTATTAAAAATTGTTTAAATTTAACATGGTCCTCCTCGACATCTCAGCGGCCTTTGATACCATTGACAACGGTATCCTCCTGGGGAGGCTCTCTGAGCTGGGAATTGGTGGCCTGGCATTGGCCTGGCTCCGTTCCTTCTTGGAGGACCGCCCCCAGAGAGTGCAGCTTGGGGAGAGTGTCTCGGCCCCGTGGAGTCTCAATTGTGGGGTTCCACAGGGGTTGATTATCTCCCCAATGCTGTTCAACAACTATATGAGGCCGCTGGGTGGGGTCATCAGGGGGTGTGGAGCACTTTGTCATCAGTACACTGATGACGCTCAGCTCTACATCTCCTTTTCACCAACCGCAGGAGATGCCGTTCTGTCCCTTCAGCGTTGCCTGGGGACTGTACTGCAATGGATGCAGGAGAACGGGCTGAGGCTGAACCCGGACAAGACGGAGGTACTGAGGGTGGGCACCCCCACAGTCGGGGGTCTGGGAAACTCCCTCTCTTTTGGGGGAGTGACTCTTCCCGCCAAGGATGGGGTCCGCAGCTTGGGAATCCATCTGGACCCGGCACTCACTATGGAATCTCAGGTGGCGTCGGTGATCCGTACCGCCTTTTTTCATCTTCGGCAGATAGCCCAGCTGCGGCCCTATCTCGATGTTGGGGCACTCACCACCTTGGTGCATGTGCTCGTAATCTCTAGATTAGACCACTGTTATGCACTCTACGTGGGGCTGCCTTTGAGGCTCATGCGGAAACTTCAGGTGGTGCAGAATGTGGTGGCCAGACTTCTAAGTAGAGTGAGAAAATACCAACACATCTCTCCCACACTGGCTGCATTGCATTGGCTGCCCATTCGTTTCCGCATCGACTTAAAAGTGTTGATGCTTACGTATAAAGCCCTAAACGGTTTAGGACCTCGATACTTGTCAGAACACCTACTCCCACCAAGAACTACCCATATCACTTGCTCGAGTCAGGAGGTGAGGCTGAGGAGCCTGACGCCGAGAGAGGTCCGAAAGGAAAAGACAAGGAACCAGGCCTTCTTGGCGGTGGCTCCTCGCCTCTGGAACAACCTTCCTCCAAAGATTCACTAGGCCCCGTCGCTGGGTATTTTTAAGACCCATCTAAAAACTTGAATGTTTAAGCAGGCTTTTCCTCCAGAAAACACTTAATATTTCTTTATTTACTTTAGTTTTGTGATATTGCCATCTTGAAGAATATGTTTATTGTTTGCCGCCTATTGTTTAGTGTTATAGTATATTATTGATTTTTTTTAAAAAAATTCATTTGTTACATGTATACGTCACTGTATTTTATATGCCTGGAAGCCGCCTAGAGTGGTCACACTGACTAGATTGGCGGGGTACAAATTAAATAAATAAATAAAAATAAATAAACATGACAAATTCAATGTAAACCCAACTTCCTGTAAGCTGGGAGCTGCACTGAACATCCTGGATTCCCCTGGGAACAACAAGTGAGTTGAATTACCTGTTGCTTTCAGTGGCACTGAAATTCAGTAGCAAGTACAGTGGTTCTTTAAAGAGCAGGGTATATACTAGAGGAGTGGTTCCCAACCATGGGTCCCTAGATGTTCTTGGACTGCAGAAGCCTTCTCCAGGAGCTGTGCAGGTCAGAATTTTGGGGAACTGTAGACCAAGAACATCTGGGGATCCAAGGTTGGGAAACACTATGCAAGCGTATTCACCTGCACTGTAGAACCTTACAGGATTGAAGGGTAGAAAGCCTACTTTCCTTTCAGAAGTGACAGCAAGGGAGCAATAGAGAGAAAGTCTGTAGCTGTGGCTGCCAATTTTGCACCATTGGCAGCAGCACTGGTGCCAGAGAACAGGGGTGTGGCCCACGAAATGTGTCTTGCCCACCCACATGGTCTTACTTTGGTCAAGGGGGTATCCCAGAGAAATACATTCATTTGTAAAATGCTCACCTGTGCATTCCAGTGCCACACATTACAATCTGGCAGGCTCCCAGGCGGTAACAAAGTTCAGAGGATATAGGCAGCAGTCCAGCCCCTGCTATATTACTACTAGAATATCCCGACTGGCTGCCTTTTGTGCTGACAAAGGATTTCATGAGTCTGAAAAGCTCATCATCCCAGAGAAATACATTCATTTGTAAAATGCTCACCTGTGCATTCCAGTGCCACACATTACAATCTGGCAGGCTCCCAGGCGGTAACAAAGTTCAGAGGATATAGGCAGCAGTCCAGCCCCTGCTATATTACTACTAGAATATCCCGACTGGCTGCCTTTTGTGCTGACAAAGGATTTCATGAGTCTGAAAAGCTCATCCATTGCATTGATGGGGCGAATGAGCTGCAAAAGAATACAAAGAATGGATTATGGCTTCTTTCTATACCTCTAGTTTCTCTCCCAAATAACTGTACCCAGTCTAATCCCTTATGTCAGCAACCATTCACTAGAGCCATCCTCAATCTGGTGCCATCCGGATGGGTTTGATTATGCTCCCATTAAAATGACCATGTTGGGTGTGTATAATGCAAGCCACAGCTCTACAGGACACTCAGTTGGGAAAAGGCTGCCTTAGGGAACAAGCTGTGTTTTTATAAGTACTGGCCTTAATGTATTACACACAAAGGACACCACTACCAATGACGCACTGGCACCCAATCCTATTTTTACTTTGCTACAGAACCATATGCTCGTATCTAAGCATAAAGAAAGCTTCTTTACCTGGTCGATTTTCACAGCTGTTGTGTTGGAATCTGTAGGCAAGTTGGACCTCTCAAGGTAAAATGTCCTGTAATTTAGCAATAAGGATGTGTTAACTTGTGATCATCAAGTGTCACACATTTTTATGGCATGTATCTTCCCAAAGGGCATGGAGAACGAAGCAAGCATGAGATGGGCATTGTCCCTTGCTCTTCTTTTTCACATTCCTTCCTCCTCTCATGGACTTTGATGTTATTTTTACAGGAGCACAAGAAGTTGCATTATAGTGGCAAAAATCCTCTTGCTTGCTATCTGCCTGAAATTCTGTTACTTAGTGTAGTAACACACATTGAATCAGTGGGTATTCCATGGTGATTCCTCTTTAAGTTCCACTGATGTTATCGGCCTACTCTAGTAATACGCCAAACAATAAGATTTCAGCCAATGAGTCAGATTGTTGGCCTATCTAACCTGTTTTGACAACTCTCATTGGCAGCAGCTCTCAAAAGTTTCCGGGAGGACCCTGTCTCATTTCTGAAATCAACAAAATCAGGTATGTTCATGATACCAAGTGCTTATAATCCTGACTTGCTTAACCATGGTATATAAACCAATAAATGGTGAAAGTGCTGCTTAGAAATCAAAATTGGTACTAAAATGTAATTACCTTATTTGGGTGTCACAGATCACTATAATTTAACAAGCCAAGGTTATAATCATTGTGTACTGGCACATGATCAGCAAAATGAAGGGAGAGGGGAGTATGTGCTACATGATTCCTTCCAAATTAGACCTGCCTGAACCACTTTGCATCTGAACCACATCACTTGTACCAAGTATGAGAAATTCTAACTATTGTGTGAAAGATTCAACTTCAACTTTTTTGATCCTTTTGTTCATTACACTAAGAGTAGAAAGAAATGCCACTTTTTGCTTTGTTGGCATGTTTTAACATATCAGATTCATGTACACTTTGTTTTGCATCTGACAAAGGCTCAGGTTTTCTACAAAAGAAGGACTAGAGTGATGGATTCTCTGAATTCCTTCACTTGGCTTTTCACCATGAATTTGCCAGATTCGTATAACCTGAACATAAAGCAGCACACAGACACAGAACACCAAAGATCACAACGCAGCCCTCTCTTGCTTAGTATACAGCCCAAATATTACAATGAAAGATGCAGTTTTGGAAGAATGTGCATAACACTTTTTTATGCAGTAGAAAAAAAATCAATTGCAAAAATGCATGCATTTAAAAAAGGTTCATAAATAGTGCATATATAACTTTTTTTTAAATGTACACAGAATTATGTATTAGCAGTGAAAAAATGAAAACCTAAGAGAACTTAAATTTAATAGCTCCTCTCTGTTTCTTTCCATGTTAACAAGAGCAGAGATGAGATTTTCTTGTATTGTATGTTTGAGCCATAAGCAGCTGTATTATCTCTGACATATTCCCAGCTGCCTACTTCTTCCTTCACTCCTGCTTTGTGCTACATAAAACAGCTTTTCCTTTCTTTCATTAGACTCTGTAACAGAGTTAATAGAAATATCAATTGAAATGTATGACTTGAGACTCAAATGACCTGTTTCTTTTCTGTTGACTGTAAACTCTTAGGTACATAAATTATGCAGTAATGTGTTATATTATCTGCACAGATAGCACTGTACAATTAGTAATAATTTTTAAAATTAATTGGCTGAAATCTTGTTCGGAGGTGGGTTTCTACCTGCAGAGTAAGAATGACAGTAGATTGCACAGGTTAAAGATAAAGAACACATAACTCTCCTTTGGTTTTATAATACCTGAGTTTGCGATAATACTGCTGCATCTTCTCGAGAGAATCAGAATTAATCTGTTGCTGGAACTCTTCTAGAGATGGACCCCCAGGCTGGGACTGGCCTTCCAGATTTTCCAGGGCTATAAAAAATTTCATTAAAAAAATGTCATGCGTCTGTTCGAATTTTCATACGTTTCTCCTTATAAATACAATTATTCTGAAATACCATTGTACCTAACACTTTTTTGTATCTGGAAAAAACTTCACCACAGTCCTTACCTTCCTTTATTATGGCTCTACCACTCATACAGGCAACCTGCAGCATCCATGTATTCACCTTCTTTTTCCTAAACAGACATGCCTCTTCTTCCCTGGCTACCCCTCTGAGTGGCCTTAAAAGCAGCTAAGGAGATTACCAAAGGGAGCACTGCTTAGCTGGTATCAGCACAAATCAGACAACGCATACACCAACTGGGTGGTATTGTTTGATTCCATCATGTGTTGCCCCTTTGCAATTCCCTAAAGTATTCTGCCTTTCCTGTTGGATCGGAACTGGAAATACCTGAGAGCACTGGAATTGCACCAAGTTCCTGCTCAGCAAAGGACTGGCCAGGAGACATCTGAGGAGCACAGCAATTTAGCTAAAATTCAACGGAATGCTTCCCCCCCCATCCCAATGATTCTCACTAGAAACAGATGGATGAACCCCTTGGTGGAGAGGTGGAGGAAACATAATGAGATCTGAATACAGTGCAAGACGGGGATCACACATTCCTATGTCCCACATCCTGAGATGGGCAGAAAAGCTGAATATACAGTCATTAGGCCAAATCCAATTTTCAATATGAACTAGAGTAGACCCAATGAAACAACAGGAGTTTGGTAAGTCCACACTTTTACAAATATCCGTTTCATGATGGTATACTGAGACTGAAGGGAAATAATTAGTAAGCACGTGGCTTGTTTTGTTTCTTGTAATATGACTAAGTTTGTTTGCATTAATATTACAGTACAATGTTGTTTTTAAAAAATTACACAAAGTCACATATATTTTATGGAAGTTTTGTTTCCACAATTACGTATGTTATAATGGCTTCTTACAATTAATGGCCAAATCATAACTTATTTCCAAACTGGTTTCTGACAGTTTTTGAAAGGTCACCAACGTTTATTATAAATGCTAATAGCAGATCTGAGGGTTTAAAGCAGATCAGGCCTAGTCACAAATAAAGCAGGAAACGGTGGTCCTATTTCTAGAACAAAAGGGGTATAAGGAAGATCAGAATAATCTATGCACCTGGGGATCAGCTGCCCATAGTGTATTTCTTCCAGCCAGCTCACTTCCAAGACCAGTGCTTGACTGAAGAAGAAACAAACTGGGGGCCACATTGTTCTTGGGATGTGTAAAGGAAATTAAAATGCAAATCACCTCTCACTGTTGAAGTACAGGAGGTGACCCTGGGAGTGTCAAACTTTCCCCTCCTCTTTCTGTCTGTCTCTCACAGCTATGAAGATTTTTAAATGATGGAGGAAGAACTCATGAACATTATCCTACATTCTAAGGAATGAGGGTGAAATAAGGTATTTAATAGATTACAATAATAAACAGAGAAGCAGGGGTGGGGGTGAGGTGCTCATCACCCTCATAGACCTATTTTACTGTACAAATGGGCCACACAGACTCTCAACAGACAGTTCTGGAAAATGTGGTTTTTAAAGAATGGGTCTGCTACTATCACATATTGTGGCCTTTCCCAAACTGGGGCCTCCCTCCCTTTGAGTGTTGTTATCCCTATTATTCCCAGTCAGTTTGTCATGATGTTTTGAAGATGGTGGGAATTGCAGTCCAACACAGTTGGAGGGCTCCAGACGGGGTCTGGCAGCAACATCTTACTTTGGCTGTCATGTTTATCTTTCTCCTGTCAGCTTTGTGAAAACTGCTTCCTAACTGGCATCTTTACCTGTCTTGATTAGGCTTAAGCGTTTTGAAATTTAATTTCCACTTCTTCAGGTTCCATGAGTACTCCCGATTAATCACTCATGACAAGGTCAGGAACTGTAGCCATTGTTTATCTTTAGCAAGCAGCATTCAATTAGAGTCTGGTCTGCTTTAATTATATCATAGCTGGTGGCATTAAAACAAACAATCCAAAGACAAAAGAATTTCACCTGTACCTTTTGTAAAAAGCACTGCATGTAACTTCAGGCTTCCTCCGTTCTGAAACCGAGAAGGTAATTTGGAAAAGTAGTAGCTGTCCAGGTAAAAAGTAACCTTCAAAACTTGACGATTTCCTTCAACCTGATAAAAGACATGGGTATCTGGAACAAACAAAAATACAGACCTTTAGGTGTTTTAAGGGTACAGGAGTGTATAATCTATACAAATGCTTTCACAGCGGGAGACCAACTCCATCCTAAACAGTCAGTACATCAATTTCCTGGACAGGAGGGCCATCTATCCACATTTGTTGGATGAAGCCAAGGGATGAACATCTAACTAGTGGATGGCTCCACAACTGCACTGCCTGACCTGACTGGGACCACACAGAAAGAGAGCTAAATGATATCTCACTCCAAATTCCCTGGTAATGGCACCAGAAGGCTTCATATAAAAGTTAACAGAACCCCATAAAACAGATTAGAGCAAGGCCTGACAGCAGAGGCAATAGCCAGGATTTCAGAAGAACTACCACTATCTGTGTTACTTCCTGAAACTCTCCTTTCTGTAATAATAATACTTAAAATGATTAACGACAGAATAAAGCAATGGGATTGTAAAAAGTAATTCCACTCCTGGATATTTATTTATTTATTCAACGTATATGCCACCCACTCTACCCAAAGGTCTCTGGGCGGCTCACTTAAAGGATTGAAGGTTTGATTGTAAAAACCCACAGAGTACCTGTCATGGTGGACAACATTTTTTAAACTATTTAAATAGCAAACTAGAGCTTAGTTCCATGCTACAGCTTTATAGACTACAAACAGGATGCAGTCCATGCAATGCTTTGTAGGCTGCAAGCCAGGAATCAGTTTCACACAACTGGTTCCCAGGCTTTGAACAGCACCTACAAATGAATTTTGAGGATAGACAGAAAACCTTGTTGGCCTAATCCAGCCCACAAGGGGCCTAAGAACACACAATACATGGCTTTGTGAACTGTGGGAACCCATATGATACTGCAGGAAAAATAGGGCATACACTTACTTGCTACAAAACATTCATCTAATTGTTTGAAATAAAAGACAACTTTATCCAGCTCTGAGAGAGTGGCCTGAATATCTTCCAGCATGATTCGCTCCTCCTTCTGAAATAGACAAGAAATAAAGGATATAATTCAAGGAATGACAAATAGCAACATATAGGACCACTTCTCCCCAAGGTGTGTGAAAACACGAAAATAATGGTACCGTCCTTCCCCAAATTAAGGTAACATAAGCCTCAACTGAAGGATGTCTCATCCAATATGATTTTGACCAAGGCTGCTTCTCACCACATCATTTACTCCCAGGTATTCACACTCCAAAATCTGAATTCATAACCATGAACGATAATTGAGTTTCTACTACTAAAACTTGACCACCCAAGTTACAAACATAAAATGAATGCGAGATAAACCTTAAATTTGACAAACATCCTGATTTTCAAATTACACATATTAAAAATTATTAAATGCACACATCTACATTTTTGCCTCAAATGCTTCTTCTTCTTGTTGTTGCTTCAAATCTATAATAAATTATTTCCCCAAGAAACTAAGACTTGAGAGAACATGGAAATGACTTCATTTTCCTTTACATTACAGCTGGGAAAATATTAAATCAAACAAGAAACTATCCATATTTATGGCAAAAAATTCTGACTACATTTTTATTGCCACCCATCCAGCCAAAACTGATATTCTTTTTTTCAGACATTCAGTTTCTCAAGTCTACCTACAATATACAGCCTACCTACAGCTTTATGTGTCTCTCTCTGCTCTCAGTTCAAAAGCTGGAGAGAAACAGCTTCTCACCACCAGAGGACAGAAGACTACATATATTATGATCAGTACAGCTGTGATCTTCAACCTTTTCAGACTCATATATTTAAAAAGGGGGGGAGACGGGAAAGAAAAGCTCAACCTGCAAAATGTGGCCCAAGTTAAACCTGGAAATGTAAAATCTTTCTTGCTTCTGTCTGAACACAAACAAAGGGGACAACCCTGTATGCTTTTACAAGCTACATAAATATGAAACTTTGGCAGCTGCAGATTGTCAGGCAGGAAATTTGAAATACAAAACTGCCATATGATCCTCTAACACAGTTCTTTAGCCTAGTGATGCGGTGGTTAAACTGCAGTGCTGCAGCCAATACTCTGCTTACAACCTGTGTTCGATCCCAATGGATTCAGGTGGCCAGCTCAGGGTTGATTCAGCCTTCTATTATTCTGAGGGTAAATTGAATATCCAGCTCATGGAGGGAAGGTGAATGTGTAGCCTTCATAATTAAATTGCAGGCTGCACAAAGAATGCTTTAAGTACCATGGGGTGGTATATAAGGAGCACACTTTATTTTTTTTAAGAGATTCTACAGTGATCTTCCTAGCCCATCAAAGACTAGATCAAAGGCTGCATCAGGGAACTCCTTCAGCATACAAAGTGTTCTATGGTGGGCTTGGCATTTTTCCTTAACCCTTCAAGCAGTACTGTCCTGCCCTCCTCTGCAGTCAGTCATCTTCTTTGACTTACAAGCAGGAGAAAACACGACAAAGGAGGAGTAAAAGAAGCTCTGGCCCTCCGGAGGTTTTGAAATGCAACTTCCATATCTCTTATCTTTGGCCATGCTGGCTGAGGTGATAGGATCTCAAGGCCAAAATATCCAGAGAATTAAAGGCTCCCCACCCCTATTTTACAGGAACACTTGCTTCATTGATATCTGCAAGACGCAACCATTTGAAGAGAGGCCTAACAGGGCAGCATAAAAAGTCAATTTCCTATTTTTTTCTTATAAACTGAAAGTATTTGTGTGAGTCAACATAGTCCAATTTTTTTAAAAAATGAGTTTGGCTCAAGCCACCTTAACTTCCCCAGCTGTGTAAAACTGGTTTCTAATGCAGTTTCACAATGTGTATGGACAGCTCATCTGACTAGGTGGAAGACCACATGTGTCCTCCCTATTTACTGTTGTGGCAGGAACCCATATGGACGAGAAGGAGGCAATTGGCCGCCAACCATGGGACTGAGGCATCCGCACATATATTACAGTTGTGCAGGAGTGGACCTCCCCACAAGCCTGGGTGTACGTCTCAACGTACCAACAATGTTTGTGCCAACAAACATTCAAAGGAAAAAACTGAACCCTGCATATAAAAGCAGCTGTTTTCCCAGCCTTTGAAACATATCCAGGATGGGCAGAGCAACTTGGTCATGAGATGAGCAAGGTGAAAACTCTAGAGGTTCCTCCTTTTTTTGGTTTTAGTTTGAGTCAGTTGTGGTCCACCCTTACCACACTGGGAGAGAGCAAGGACTGGTAGTTGAGTAACACCCCAGTGGCTGCTATCTGCTCTAGCCACTTCTTGCTGGCTTCCCTGCTGCTTTCTTCATATTCCCCATTGTTGTTGTATCGGTAATTAAGAGCACCCAATAACTGCTCAGAGAATGTACAAATGGCAGCCACCAGTGCCTGGCAGAAAATGGCATCTCGTCTCAGCTGCAGTTCTGTATCTAGACAAGAGGAAAAACACACGAGAATTAGTTATAACAGAGTAAGTGGCCGGAATTGAAATGAAGATTTATGCTGGCATAAATATAAGGGTGCAACCTGAAGCACTTAATACACTTAAAGATCATCAGCTAACAGTGTCATATCAAGGAGGTGCCTTACCTGTGCATTTTAGTAAAGCCAAAAGCAGCTGGTTCTTTCCATCTAGAAAAGAAAAGAAAGCATGATGTCTATTAAATGGGCATGTGATCATATTCTGCTTTTCTAAAACTCCTATTCGTTCGACATGTTGAATCCTAGCAGGACTGAAGTTAGCTTTGAAGTCACATGCCACACCGAGATGCTGTTGTTTCTTAACTCCCCAGAACTAATTCTGGTACTTAGCAGGAGAGATAGTCACTCTGCACACAGGTCAAAGTCACACGTTTATGAAATTATTGCAGGGGTTCTAGCACAGATTCTAGAGCTACAAAAAGTTGATCTTTTTTTTTTTAAGACCCAAACTCCAATAATTCCTCAAGGCAGGCATGGCCAAAATAATACAAATGCAAATGCTAATACTAATACTAATAATATCAGCAGCAACATCAGAACAACAACTTTTCAAGGCTCTATTAGTCCTGGCACTAAAAATAAAATTCCATTGTCAAAATTCTAGCTCTAACAAATAACTATTCACACACACAAGCAAGAAAGAGGCATAAACCAGGCATAAACAGCAGTTTTTCCTGTGCATGAATGATTTTAAATACAAGCTGTCCTTGCGGTGGCACATTTAGAGAGACGACCACCAGCTTCTGAAGAATCCTAGTTTCAGCACATTTTTCCATTTTCAGAGAAGATAGATATTATCCTTTGTTAGTCCAAAGCAAAGGGAAGTCCCATGTTTCAGAAAACATGGCCAACATGGGAACTGTCTCCTTGTTAAGCTCACAATAAGAGCAAAAGGGAAGTTGTCAGAAGTGCAATGCTTGACAAGGACAACTCTAGTAATGACTTTCAGATACAAGGACTCTGGAGAGAAATTCAGCCACTCAGCCACGAGCTGCAGATTCAAATCAGAAATTTACCAAAAGCACCACAGGGAAGGCTTGATCTCTACTGAGATATCTCTTAAAGCCATAAGATACAGTACATTGTTAGCAGTGTCACTGTTTCTTGATGCTGTCCTTTTGGGGTCTACACAGCAGAAATACAGAACCAAAGATTCAACTCCATACGTACTGTTTAATGCCTCTGCCAAGCAATTATTTGGTGTAAGGACCTATTTATGTCTCTGTAGCTGAAACGTAATGCAGATACCCTGGGAGCTTATTTAGCACGCCCAGGGTTGCATTATGGGGTATCTTTAGGAAAAGGAGCACATTGGCTGCCTACAAGACTCTAAATTTATTTCAAAAGTTTCCAGAAGCTAAACACAAGCCAGTGGTGTCACACCAGAAATGTCATCAGCTCATATCAGTGCAAAGGATGAACCTTTCCCCATATACTCCAGATTTTTAATGGAAGGGACTGTAGCTCTAGGATAAAGCCCATGCCTTGAACGCAGTGCGAATTTTGGATACCTTCTTAGGAAGACTTCCCATGAAGGATTCAAGAGCTGCCACCAGCTGCCACCAACATGGCCATCTAGATACAACAGGCCTACAGCTCCCCCATCATCTTTAGCTAGTACAGCCAATGGCAAGGGATACTGGCTGTCTTAGTCTAACATCAGAAGGGTCGTAGGTGTTAACCCCTCATGTAAGCAATACAGAGTTAGATTGACTGAGCTGAAGCAACCTACTGCATTTCCTGTATTTCAGAATCCTAAATCTGCCACTATTTCAAGCTGGGGTGGAATCTAGTTCCAGCTTCCCATTTCTTGCTTTGTTAGCTACTCTGTTAATAAAACAATTCAGTCCAACTACCCCATTCACAGACCTTCCACATATTTTTGTATGGTCTCAACAAGGTTTTTAATACGGAGTGGAAGATTCCAGGGATCTTCTTGGATGCTGATCTGAATCTTGTTTCTGCTCCGAATTGTAGTTTCCTCTTTCTGCTTAAATTCTGCAAAATAAGAGAATTTTTAAGCCCAATATTAGAGTAGTTCAATATAGCAGATCTCCATTTACTGTCTTACAGTCCCAACCCAACCCAACCCATTCTTTTGTTAAGGAATGCCTATCTATATTTTGCAGGAAAGATCACCTGCAACATAACAATGCAAATTTAATAGCCACATTAAAGTTAAAAAACAAAACACTAAGCTAAGGCTAAAACTAGATCTTACTGGCCAGAAGCCTACTGCTTATGTATACCACTCTAAGTCAAACAGCAAATGGCATACATGCATAATGCCCCCAGTTAAGAAGTCAAGGCTTGTATCCCCTGCCACATGCCAAGTCATGCAACTGGTGCATGATCATGAATACATGTCTTAATTCTTATCTAGTGCCAATTTGCCACTGTGATTTCTGCCAGTGTACATAACTAATAAGATTTTGGCCATTAGCATTTAATGTAATGAATGGTCAGGAAATATGATACTCTTCAGATGTTTTCAGACTGTAACTCCCAGCATCTCTGACTCCTGATTGTACTGCCTGGGGCTGATGGAAGTTGTACTGAAATAATATATGGAGGTTTAGATGTTCCCATCCCTGGTTCAGATGCTGCTGGTAGCAAGAGAAGGCCTCTTGTCACCTCCCTCCTAGATCTTGCATACCATCTTACAATCCATATATATGGTATAATGTCACTCCACTTTCTTGTCAGGACATTGCTTTGTTATGGTGGAACAACATGTGCTCAGGATTTACACAGTAACAGCTGCATGGAAAATATGAAGAACAAAATAAGGACAAGATTTCAGCAGAAGGATCTAAGGTTCCAGACACAGAATGGCTATAGCCCTGATGGAACTCAGATTCTGCATTATGCCCCAAATTGATACAATCTATAACAGAATACGCCCCTTCATGGACTGCTGCCTTGTCGTGGCAAAGGGACTTGAGTAACTCAGAGAAGCTATGGGCTATGCCGTGCAGGGACACCCAAGACGGACAGGTCATAGTGGAGAGTTCAGACTAAAGGTGATTCACCTAGAGCAGAAACTGGCAAGCCACTCCAGTATCTTTGCCAAGAATACCCATGAACAGAAACAAAAGGCTAAAAGATATGATGCTGGAAGATGAGCCTCTCAGCTCGGAAGGCATCCAACATGCTACTAAGGAAGAGTGGAGGACAAGGACAAGTAGCTCCAGAGCTAATGAAGTGGTTGGGCCAAAGCCGAAAGGACGCTCAGCTGCAGATGTGCCTGGAAGTGAACGGAAAGTCCGATGCTGCAAAGAAAAATACTGCATAGGAACCTGGAATGTAAGACCTATGAACCTTGGTCAATCAGGAGATGGCAAGAATAAACATTGACATCCTGGGTGTCAGTGAACTAAAATGGACGGGAATGGGCAAATTCAATTCAGACGATTATCATATATACTATTGTGGGCAAGAATCCCACAGAAGAAATGGAGTAGCCCTCACAGTTAACAAAAGAGTGGGAAAAGCTGTACTGGGATACAATCTCAAAATGATAGAATGATTTCAATATGAATCCAAGGCAGACCTTTCAACATCACAGTAATCCAAGTTTATGCACCAACCAC